TCGTATTTGTAAAGAAAAATTTCAGGGCAGTATGCACTTCTACTGGCCATTAAATTTTACAAAGATATTTTACTATAAATTGAGCATAAGTTTCCAGTATGTAATACTTTTATTTAAGAGTTTTTATATGTAGCAAAGGCAGAATTATTTTGTATTGTACGTAACACTCGAAGTATATGTTCGGGTGTCACGGAATACCACCCCCAAACTTATATAAGTCATTGTCCACAATGTTTTGAAGAATAGCAAACAGCAATATAAGGAATACGTAACTACAAGGACAAATGCATGATAAGTTAGAGAAAATGGGGCTCAGAATACTCTCTTGTTTAGTACGGAGGTGATGGATGGAAATCAGAGCCGGAAGCGTCATCAATCGATGGTGGTGGGAGATGGACGATGATCTATCGCATTAATTCCGATTATTGTGCAAGCTCGGTCTGTATGCCCTGAATGTAGAGAGATTGATCCCGAACTTCAGCCTCAGTGTTACCCAAACGGACCCATGACTCGTTAGCTCTCAACTGAATCCCATAAACTCTACCCACATAATTATTCAACCGCCCATTCATGATCTCAACCTCGCATCTCGCAGCTAAGAAATCCCTACTGGTATTGGAAACAAAGTTCCTGGTGCTAAGCACGTTATCCATAATCGCCTGGATAGTCGTACTCATAGCGCCTACAACCTGCCCAAGACTCTCTATATCTCGTGTATTCATATGCGACCACATAGTTCTCATGGAATTTACCTTGGAATTTGCTGAAGGAACTTATACGACTGCATAGGTTTAAGCTATGCGACTGCATTGCTTAATCATCTTCCAAAATGTGGCATTTGGTCCTTGAACTTCATTTTGAATTTCTTGACCTCTTATCCAACTTCCTCTTCTTCCAATGTTTCATTCATTTGATTGATTTGATCTCGCAATCTTCATATCTTTGATCTCTCATCTAGGTCATTTTTCGATTATTTGCACATTGGTCCCTGAACTTTGGTCTTTTTTTGTTTTAGTCATTTTTTTCCATTTTTCTCCTAATTTCCTTCATATTCATCATGGTTGTCCTGCAAACACAAATTTCAACGAATTAAGCTATATTCCACATATTTATTAACAAAGATCAATGTTTGTGGCCCAAAATAAGTGTGTAAAATGCACTTATCAATCTCCACTTGAGATTCCTTTGAAAAATTATTATATGAAGACAACATATTCTAAAAGCCCTCTACTTCATAGGATTCAATGGTAATATTGGTTTCCAAGTTTAATGAACGACATGCCTTGCTGTTTTGGGCATATCATACAAAAGTGTATTTGATCCATTTAGGACTCAACTTAGTCCTTTTAGGATCCGTGTTCTTACCATAAGCTAGATATCTCCACATTTTGAAATAACCAATGTTCGATGTTCTTCCTTTCCACAATTCATATGGAGAAACCTTAAATTTTTTAGAAGGAATCCTATTAACTATGTGACACACACTTAATAAAGTTTCACCCCATAAGTTAGATGGCAAATAGTATTTATCATTTCAACTAGTGTACTATTCTTTCTCTTAGCCAAAACATTTTGTTCAGGTTTTAGGTGCACTACATTGATGTATTATGCAATGTTCACAAAAAAAAAATTAAATTCACTAGAGAAATATTCACCGCCACTATCACTTCTGAGGATTTAATCTTTCCATTTAATTGATTTTCTACTTCAACTTTTATATCTTAAACATGTTAAAAGCTTCATCCTTATGTTTCATCAAGTAGATATAGCAAAACCTAGAATGATCATCTATGAATATTATGAAATATATATTATCTCCTCTACTTAACATTCCATTTAATTCACATATATCAGAATGAATTAAGTCTCGTAAATTAGATTTCCTTTCAACGCTATGAAAATGTTTCTTAATCATTTTAGACTTAACACATAATTGACATTTATTATATTCTAAGTTTTCACATTAAATTATTCCAGTTTTAATCATTCTTTTTAAAGTAAAAAAGCCAACATGCTCTAATCTATCATGCCATAAAGAAATAGACTCAACAACATAATTTAAATTTGTAGTTTTATTTATATTATTGTCAATAATACAAATTTTGACCATTCCATTACTAGAATAGCATATTTCCAACAAATACACTATTCCGGGAAAGTATAAGTTTACCCCGACTCATATGTAGACTTTATTTCGAGTTTTCCCAATAAATCACCACTTGCATGATTTCTATTAATATCCGGTACATGTAATACATTTATTAATGTGATCTTCTTGCCGAATGTAAACTGTAAGTCAATGCTTCCTTTGCCAACAACTTTTGATTGAACTTCATTCTCCATTTGAATGTATTTGTCATCCACTTCTTGATAGATTTGAAAAGGAATCTATCATAGCACATATGTATGGTGGCACAAGTATCATACCACCATCCTTGAACCTTTCATTTAACCGAATTTACAATGCTCACGGTAGCAATGATGTTCTCAATAGAGTTTACCTTGCCTTCTTGCATTCGTTGTTTGCGATGTCTACAATCTCGAGCATAATATCCGAGTTTACTACATATATAACAAGAAATTTTGAATTTCTTCTTATCTTTGTTGGGGTTTGTGAATTTCTTCTTCTCGAAATCCTTATTGTATTTATTTGGTTGATATACTGTATGCTTTGAAAGTATCCTTATGAGAATATTCATTCCCATCTCGTGCCCTTTGACTCTTCCTCAATTCGAAAAGGTTTTTGAATTTCTTCCAAAGAATAATCTTATAACCTTTCCATGAAGATTGCAATTTTGCAATGATTGTACCGACTTGGAAAGTTTTGGGAAGATCTATTTTCGCAGCTTTCATTTTATTGATAATGATTTGCTACTCATGGACTTGTCCTAACAAAGGCAAGTTATCCAAAAACTTAAAATCAAAATACTTAAAAAATAAGAAACATCTTCGTACCTTCTTCCTTGGCCTTGTATTTGGTTTTCAATGATTCTCATATCTCCTTTGCTGATGTGTTGTGTAGAGATCATAGAGGTAGTTGGAGAGAGCATTCAAAATGTGTCCCTTACATATCAATTCATCTTCTTCTCTCTTCTTCCATTCCACCCTTGTTTCGTCGGTGTCATTTAGGGTTGGTTCCGACAATGGCCCCAACTCTGGATTCAAATTATAAAAGATCTTTAAGGTTGCAAGAAGAAACATCAATTTGTCCCTCCATCTTGTAAAGTTCGACCCTTGGAATCTGTCAAGCCTTACAAGGTCTTGATTCATCATATTTATCGTGGCCATGGTTGTCTCATTCTCCGTGTTGAAATATCATTTGAGATTGTTGAACAAAGTTGATGAAGAACGAAAATAAAACTAGCAACAAGAAATCTTCAAATGGAATATTTGAATACGACTATGAATTGCCTCCTCAAACGATATTTGTCGCCACCGGGTTAAGTGCTTGAAAACTTCAATGGCAAATAGTTTTCAAGAGTAAACAAATCTTAATTCAAGTATGAATCAAGCAATCAAAACATGGACAAGGAACTTTGAAGAACAATATAAAAACTGGGTTTGATCTTTGATTTTGGATGTTGATGAATGAATTTGATGTTTTTGATATATTTTGAATCATGAAAATCATTCATATATATAGTATAACAATCACCATGCACGAAAAGGTGCAAAAACTAAGTCAAAGGGTGTAAAACTCTTCGAAACGACATCAGAATTAAAAACCTTAACGGGCAAATGTTTGTAATGGGAAAATCGGGCGCCCGCCCAGTTCAACAAAATGGCTGTTATAATTGCAACAGGCCGCAAGCCTTAAGCCTGGGCGGCCATTTTCGGCCATCACTATTTTTTGTTCTCATTTTGTTTTTGCTTGTTTTTCCCATGGCTAACCATTTCCGTCACTTCCAAAACCACTCCCAGTTAATTTGAACAATATCTTACAATCTCCCACTTGTTCAAAAATAAAATGAGTACAAACTCTAGTTTAACGACACTTATGCATAAAGTATGGATATCTTTCGATTTAAATCTAACCTTAGTATAAATCTCACAAAGTAATCATCGAAATCCTTAGTCATTTTGGGTAATGCAAATACGTCTACTGTAAGCTATATATTCTCTCCTCTTAAGTTAGATTTTTTTGTTGATAAAGTTATATGTTTGATCTTATTTTTAGTTTGATTTTTGTTGATTGTTCCTTATCGAGCGATTTAGCTCATATATCTTGTCGGCATCCGAATATATTTGTCTCGTGTTATAAAACTTCTTCCACGTTCAAATTCGAAATACCTTGTCCTAATTTGAATTATTACTTTTAATAATATTGACTTTTAAGATTGAACTGGAAAACTCAAATATATGTCTATATTTGATAGTGTTATCAATCTAGAAATATTGATATTTACTGTTTTTTCTTCCTTTCATTTTCTCTTAGTGGAGAGTGGACAAATTTGAACTACCACAGTAACACAAAAACCTCAAGCTCAAAGTATTATTGCCAACACAAAGAAATACAGTACATATATGAATAAAAATTACGGAGATATACACCACAAATACGCAAAATATTAAATGTTATCAGTTTTATATTTGTATCATCGTTTTTGTTCTTGATTTTACCCTTTCTTGTGAGCTATGATAATAAAATAAGCAAAATATTAAATAAAAAAAGCAAAGAGAAGAAGTCAAGAAACTAAAACAAATCAAGAAAGAGGAAAATTATGTGACTTGATCATGGATAATGATAATAATGATGTGGTGGTGGAGGAGATGGCTGAGGCGGCGGTGGCGGCGGAGGTGGTGGTAAACAACCAAAAGCACTACAGTCCACAGGATGTGAATAAAAGGCCTTACATTCCTCAGCTGAGCGCTGTTTAGGCCTATAGGGTATACAGTTCTTCCTGTCATCTTTATCTTTCAACTTGAGACATGAACTTGCTTCAATACAGAAGTAATTATCTGAATATGTGAAATTCTCCAACCTCGGCAAGGAGCAAATACTGTCTGGAATTTCACCCGAAAGTTTGTTATGTGCGACATTTAGCTGCTCAATACTCTTCATATTCCCCATAGATTTTGGCAGTGTCCCAACAAGATTATTATAACTAACATCAAAAACTGTCACCTCTGTCAACAATCCGATTTCTTCTGGCAAACAAGCAGTTAATCCATTGTTAATGAGAATAATTTCGTTCAGGGTTTTTGCCATTTTGCCTATACTTGAAGGCAAACACCCCTGCAGATTGTTATTTGCTAGGACAAGTACTGAGACGGTCGAGTTGCCAAGATATTTTGGTAAAGTAGATTGGAAATTATTGTTGTTTATGAACAAGGCGTCGAGTTTCAAGTTGAAAAGTGTTGAAGGGATCTTTCCCTTGAACTTATTGAATCGAATATCGAGGAATTTGAGTGAAGGAAGACATAGAATAACAGAAGGGAATTCACCAGAAAACACATTATTGCTTACATCAAGCTCATAGAGAAGGTGAAGATCACGAAAACTAGCCGGAAGTGTACCACAGAACTTGTTTGAGTTTACGTGGAAGAGAGCAAGGTCAGTTAGGAGGCCTAATTCTTCAGGCAGTGAACCAGATATGCCAGCATGGTTTAGGTCAATTCCGGCAACGGTTGTGATATAAGGGTCGTCCGGAGCCGGTGCACAGTAAACTCCAGTGTAATTACAGACCGCGGGGCCATTCCAGTTTGAAGTGAAGCCTTTAGGGTCATCTGTGATGGCATGTTTCCATGCTTGCATGGCTATAAAGGCATTTTGCAGCCTAGGGTTTAGGACCGGTGAAGGGTTAGATGATTCTTGAAAAGAGGGTTTTGAGAACAAGAACAAGAGGGATAATAATCCCCAAAGGAATGAATTGATATTCATGTTGAAATCTACAACTTTAAGGTTTCAGCCTACTATATGTACATATATATTCGTGAGTGTATCTCAGTTTTATCTTTAAAATAATACAAAGCAAATTGTGTAGCTGCTGATGGATGCAAGGAATAAAAATCCCAACTTGACTTCATAATCTGATAAGAAGAAGGCTTTTCTATTTTCAGTTTACTAAACTTTTTAAATTCAAGAAATGAACTGGCATCCATGAATACAATTGGATGGTTTTCTGAAATTTTCAAAGGGTTGGATGAAGAATAGCCAACGACAACACGGTTTCTAATATAATTTTGGTGGGTGAAATAAAAAAATTGCATTAGTCTATTCATACTTCTTGTGAAAGGTTTTGGAGACTTATTCTTTTAATTAAAATGTCTCTCGTGAGACAGAGAATATAGAAATGTGTAACACTAATCTCGAGTCTAATTGTTCACATGTTTTGTTGGACAACTTGAGTGTTAATACCGGAGTTGCCTGGTGCATTGGTCTAAGGGAGGATAAGAATTATGAATTAATGATATGAGAGTATTGGGGCCATTGGCTCAAAAAATTTAGTTTTATGTTTTAAAAAATTTAAGTTCGGAGAGACGAGTATATCATATGTCCAATTATTTTCTTTTAAAAAACTAAACGTTGAATTTCTACAAATGGGTGGCAGTGAATTTTAAAGTTCAAAATGTATGCGTGCTCTATGTTATCTTTAACTAGCTAGTCGATCCATATTGCTTTCGTTTTTGAGCATAATGTTTTGTTAGGAATTTGGAATTTTTGATATCCAAACCATAGAACAGACCCACCCTCTTAGCATGTCTTGCATGCATTAACAAAGTAAATGACTCATCCGCGTGATTAAGACCTTAAACCTATTCCCAATCCTCAAGGGTTGATTAATTTGTATGTCATCTTTAGTAATTAGAGGTAAATTGGACAACACTTAACCTCATTAATTAAGTTAAAGTTTTGTCCGAACATACCCTTTATTTTTTAATCTTCGAACTTCATGTTCCAAGTCAAAAAGGGACGCCCGGTGTGGCAGTTGAACTTGTTGATAGCTGGAAAGGGTTATTTACGTCCAACAAAGGATGCTTAATTAATAAATAATATTTTATTAATTTGTGACTGAATTGCTTGTGATATAAAACATCTTTAATATAATCCCACTTGCATGTGGAAACTTGTGAAAGTCAGAATACTAATAGTTTGGTTGGAAATTTGAAGTCATCTTCCACGTAAACATCTAAAACAAGGAGACAACTTAAAAACTCATTTTAGCCTGAATTCATACATATATAACATAATATATCGAAGTTTCTCAGCATAAAATCATTAGAAATATTTGTTTTTTTTTTAATTGAACTATCAGATTTATGAAAGTTTGATATGGGACAAAAAAATCTCCCCAAAAAGACGACAGAATTTAGAAAAAATTAGTGCCGAACTTTTTATATTCTCAATAAATTTATAATTAACTTACAAATTTATTTTATAATTCTGCTCTATTCGTCATTATGCCCTTTTTGACAATCATTTTTTAGACATAATGAGTTTTTAAATAGTAATTTTTAAAGAATGTATGTTTCAAAAGTTGGGAAAAGTTTTGAGTTTACAAAAATAATATTTTATTGTGAGAATGTGTAGTTGAAAATGAATATAAGAAAAAATGAGTTTTGAAAGAATGGTTACCAAATGCATCTTCCGCATATGAATTGCAGTGATTTCGTTAACAAAATTCATGGAAAATTTGCTTATTAATTTATTTAATCATTGGTAATAGTTTTACGAAATATAATGGTGATGTAGTACTAGTTCATAAGAAATATATAAAACTCGATTATAGATGTTTATGTATTTACAAATACTTTGTCAATGTAAGTTGTTTCATTTTTATTTAATTCTCACCTTTCTGGAAGGTTTATATAAAGAATTAAAGATTGAAGGGAAGATAACACAATTGCTATGATTATATTTTCATTGAGTCGTTGTGGACATATTGACTGTAGATAAAATGTTGTATGTCTCTAGACAGTACTACTTCATTTCATTCTAAATTATATTAAAACATAATAAAGTTTAGAGAAAAAAGATGACCATTTTTAATTTAGTTAATTTGATATATTTCAAGAGAAAAATCCACCCACGGTTGTGTTCAGTTATTTGATTCAGGGTTACTTTCCATGATAAAAATGTCCTTGCTAAATATTGTTATTAAATTGTTTGCGTAGAAGAATAGAAAAATTGTTGAAAATCAATCAATATTAAATCAGATATTTGCATAACAAACTTAGATCCTGTAATGAAATGGTCAAGGTAAACTGTTGGGGTCCCACAATCCATAGAGGTTGCATGGAAGTCTCCTACTTGGGGTTTACTAAGCAATTGCAATTGCAATTACATGTAAAATACGTTAATTAAGTGAATAAGAATACGCAATATTTAATAATTTTGTGTTGTGTGCTCATATAGTATAATTTTGCTTAATGAAATGACAATTTTATAATAAATCAATTTCTTTAAAAACTTAACATTAACAATTAGCTCACTTGGTGTATTGCTTAACCAATTAGAATGCAGTGAACACTTATTATTAGGAACCCCGATTCGATCTACTGGTAATACTGCAAAGCGATTAACATTCAACAATGGTCGAGTATGCCTGTCACCACACCCTGTCAATAGCCCTGTTTGAGAATTCATCTTTAAAAACAATTGAAAATGGCTTTCAACCTTTCATCCTCAAATAGATTCTATCTAGTGAAGGTCAAAAGATTGTGTCAATGGTCCGAATGAATGCTACATCAGGAGCCGAGTTGACTTCACTCCCGATGACCTGCCGTCGTAACAGCACTGTGGTCTATATCCTCGCCTCCCCTTTCGAGTATGATTTCTACTTTGATTTGTAAAGTTTTCTCTTTTTTATCATACACATTTGATGTTTGTATTGGGACATCTGACCTTGGGAGTATTTGATCAGTACAAAGGTGAAGATTACTGGGGTATAGAGCCTCCAAGCAAATGGGAATGGAGGCAGAGGCTCAAAGAGTCAGGAGTGTAAAGAGAAAGGTGCCCATGGAGGAGGATGAGGCGAAAAAAGATGACGATCAAAAATCTTTAGCATGCAGAGCTCGATTCGAGGCTCCTATTCTGTCATCTAAACATGGCAAAACTTGGCCAATTTCTACTGGTTTGTCTATGCTAACCTTCCTAGTTCAAATTCTAGTTTCTTCTATGCCTTCTCAATCAATTCCACCCTGATCATCCAGACAAAAAATGAAGGCGGAGATTGATGTGGTGATAGGGCGTTGTATAGAAGCATTTGTGGACTTTTTAAGGACCCCACCTCCTAGCTCAGACATTATTACTGCCTTTCCTCTACCAATAAGAACTTTTATGGATCTGTTTCTGAGGAGTTGGACTGAAAGGGAGCAAGGTAATTTGGAGTAAATGTCAGCAAGTGAAGCATGCATTAGTACTGAACTCCTTAGTCATGCCATTCTATATATGATTGCCGTTTTTGACAAGGTGTTGATTTTTAATTTAGGGTGTCAATTTCTTAGGGGATGTTCTCTTCGTATTTCAGTTTTGTATTTTTAATTTTAAATTCATTTTGGGTTTTAGGTTTTGCATGTCCATTTTAAGATTGTTGAAAACATGTTCTTTTTGCCATTTTTAAAAATTGTTTTGAAAATCCCAAAATGCATTCTCACTCGTGTCTCTCTTTCCCTACCTCTTCTTCCTCCTTCTTTGTAACCTGTCGGAACCCCATCCTCCGGCCACCATCTCCTACCACAGGTCAACTGCCCACTTCCGAGCAACTCAGAAGAGCCCTCAATTTAGTCCAAACAACAATTAACAGAAATGAGTGTCGCTATCCAGTTTCGCACAGTCCGAAGAAATCTATGATTCCTACGACGTCTGTTCAACCCATGGTCACGGACCACATGGGTCAGCTCCCTCTCCCTCTGGTATACCTAACCTAACCATAGGTCAAGCCCAATTTCAACCACAACTAGCTAATTTTATGCGTGAACTTAGGGTTGAAAACTGAGAATTTGTGGTGGTGGTGGCTGTGATTGGTGATGATGGTGGTTGTTGGTGTTGATTATGGTGGTGGTACCGTGTGGTGGCAATCTTTGTGGTGGTACCTATGGTGGTTCTGGCGACGATGGTATTTTGGGTGATGTTGTGGCTGTGGTGATGGTTCTAGCTTTGGTGGTGGTTGGTGGTGATAGTAACTGATAACAACGAAAACGCTTTTTGAAAATTTTGGCAAAGTTATAATTGAAAACACCTAAAACGATGTCGTTTTGGATTTTCTTTGTAAATTTTAAACTTGTTTTCAAAAACGCGTTCACTATTTTAAAAAATCGAAAACAGAAAATGGCTTGAAAACGGTAAAGAGAACAAGCCTTTAGCCTTTCTTATTTTGGAGCATTTGCATAAGGGCATTTTGTATTTTCTATCAAGTAAAATTTGATTTCGAATCTTCATTCTGCATTCGAAGAGGAGAGAGCTCGTCACGTTGAGGAAAAAGGGATTTGGAAGAGCATCTGGCCAAAGCGGGAGCAAAGCTGGAAACTAAAGCTAAGGCTGAAGAAGAGTTGAAAGACAAGCTTCAAATGATGAAGACCTTGGGGAAAAGATCGCTACACATGCTGAAAATGGGAGAAAGAGAGCTGCCGAAGAGTAGGCACGTGCTGAAGAGGAGAGTAAGAACGAAATCTAGCTGATAGAAAGAAAACAAGGGCTCATGAAGAGCGGGCTCGTGCTGATAGGGCTGAGGTCCAAGTAGCTACGGAGAAGAAGAAAGTTGAGGAGGTTGAAGCTAGAGCTTAGACTGCTATTGTAGATTAGAAGAATTCACCTACTTACGATGCATTAGCCTAGGATGCATATGTTGTGGGCCTAGCGGAGGTGATATTAGAATGTACTTTAATGTCGGCCCAGGATACATTAAGGCTATTAGAATGTACTTTGATGTCGGCTTCTTT